AAGTCACGGCCGACGAAAGCACCACTCCATGTTCCACCGAGGATGCTGCTTCCACGCATGAGGCCTCGCCCTCCACCACTTCACCCAGTCCAGCTGAACAGGAAACCCAAATGGCCCATAAAGCAGACCTCGACGAGGTGGCGAAGCCAGCGGTGCAGGAGCAGCCTCATGTCCAGCCAGAAACTCTGCTTGACATTCAGCCAACACACCAACCCACCGAGATCGTCACTGAATCTAGTCACCACGACGTGTCACCTGACCTAGCCACTGAGGTGCCTCGAATCAGTGACCAAACGGAGATCTATACACACGTGATATCTTCGTCTTCAGTGCAACCTGACACCTCTTCTTTTAAATCGGCGGTTACTGATAGCCGTGTTGCTGTTGTTCACGGTGCGATGGTTAATTTGTCTTCATCTGATCCATCTAAGTTATCCAGTAATCATTCTGCGACTGATGCTGTCGCTCATGTCGGCAATGGACTTGATTATAGTCGTGTCGCTACTGTGAAGTATTTTGTTAATGCAAGTGCTAAGTCTAATCAATCCAGTGATTCAGAATTTTATGGTATATCGCCCTCTGTTTTGGAAATCGTGCGGGGAATACAAAAACGCATTGTGCGCGTAAGTTTCGGAACTGCAGTCATTCGTTCGTCTTTCGTGTTTTACCTTTGTTCTGTTTTGTAGGTCAGAGAAATCCTGAAGATTGCTGAAGACAACATCAAATCGGCTTTGGCCACGCTTGGCGACAATCTTCTATCTTTTCTACCATCAAGCACCCTAAATGGCAGTTCAGGAAACTCCAAGCCCAAAATGAAGTAGGTTTGCCACTTTGTGATGCCTTAATTCATGTCCAAATCTATTTAAATCTGTTTTAGTCATGCATGTGTTAATAATTTACCGATACTTATTTTAGAAATATTTTTATTAAACTTGACATGACGTGATAATGTGAGGCAAGTGAGTCGCGTTAATTCCTGTAATCATTTTCGTTGCTTTTACTGATAATATACCCAATATCGTTCGATACTACTATTAGTTTGAAAACCATATCTGTGAGGCCTCCCTTGTGATGATTAGGAAATTCCTTTCTGACGAAGCATGCTTGGTTGAATGCGTGCCATCTATTGCCTAGATTTGTGAACGAACCGGAGACAAAGCACCTCAACGAACCACCCAACTCTCTCCAAGGAACTAAATGATAGCAGCTCTTATACAGCAGGACATGTTATCCTAATTTCTCTCTGATTTCGTTTGGCGCTGTATTATTACAATACTTTCAAGCATGCCTTTTTGTGTAAATTAATATATTTCTGCACTGAGTTTGAGAATTTGTGGTTTTGTATTTAGAATAGGCTCAGTAAAATTGCCGAAAATTCGGGCTGGAGACAAGTGATTGAGTGGTGAAGTGAAGGATAAAATAGTAAATGAAGGGATCTAATCGTGTTGAGTGAAGGCAATTCCGTGGGTGAACGATAAGTCGAAGAATAGAGGACAAAGTGGTGACTAAAAGAGGTAGCTGGAGAACCGATCGCGAAAATGCCCTATGTCACTATTTCAAACATGGTTAATATCATAAGTGGATGACTTGAGCAACCGAAACTGACAGACCTAACATGGCATCAGAGGCGAAAAAGATTAAATTTGCTAAAACTGATAAATACTTACACTAATAGGGACGCTATTAACGAAGACTGCGATGAACCAGTTAAAGGTGATTGTGGATATGTCGACTTCCAGAGTTTGCAGAGAAGCTGAAAGCTCTGGACAGTATCGTCCGAGGAGCTCTCGAAGTACATTTTGGTCGGCTTGGGCCGCGATCAGACCAGCGTTAAAGTAGTTTGGTGGGAAATGATGCTCGACGAAGAGCACTAACAGCCTACCAAAGAAGGAAAAGGCGATGGCACGCGATGAAACGTTCTTTTCCAATACCGTGCACCCTAATAACATAACTAAATTCCGTTGTTAAAATGTGTATCTATCGAAATTACTGTTACAAATCCAAAACACATTTTAGTAAGGAAACCTGGTTTTCGTGTGAATTTAAAAAAGTTAGGCAAAAGCTGTCGAGATTTTACATATTAACGGAAACAAGGTGACACATTTTAGTCGTGTGTTGAATTTCTTGGAAGGTGGGAAGGTTACCTTTTGGTAGTTTTTAGTCAATCTAATTATGGACGTTGTATGGGTAAATTTTGCCTGCAGAAATGCATTCCAGGGGCAAGAAAAAACCCGCTATGTTTGCATTTTTTTACTTAACAGACGCATCCATTGGTTGCCATGGTCGGAGTAAGGGACAAGATACAATCTAATCAGCCATGATATCTGAGCTTTGAATGCGTCACCTGGGTTTGTAAATATCACACTTCACAATGTGGAAATGGTAATTAGCATGTCGTGTTTTGAAAGGGATATTTTCATTCGCAGAAACAATCATCAAGAGATTTGTGGGAAATGTTATCCTGGAAGGATTAGTTAAAGTTTGGTGGATGCATTAGCTCGTCATAATCGAAAGCACTTAAATTATTATTTTCATGTTGCCGAGCTATTTATTACTCAGCTTTCTAACTCCAGCCCTTTAGTTCATTCATTGACACTTGTCTGTCGGTCGTTTCATGTCGAATATATTACTATTTTTTCTATAAAGAACTACATTCGTGAAACCCAACTTTGCACACATCAGTGGTGATTCGTATTGCTGCAGTCTGCAAGATACTACCCCCTCTCCCGATATCAGTTGAACTATTCTAACCACTCAGTTATTTGTAACTTGTCCGGTTCATTTAGGCTTCTGATCGATAACTACACTGGGCATGCACTAAAGTGAGCTCAAGATTTAGTTGAGCTATTCAGTACACGTTTATCTCTCTCTCCCTCGCACCATTCCCATTTCTTTTTGGGTGCTTCGTGTGGTATTGGGCAACAACACGTCTAAGCTTTACAGACGCCATTAGTCCTCTTTTCATTTTTCTGGGAGTTGTGAGTGGTAGAGTTAGTTGATCCCCACGTGTCTCAGTCAAATCTTACAGCACCCCTTGATGATAACAATGCCTCACTCCTCCTTGAGCTTGTCTCATGGAATTTAGAACTTGCTTTACAAATCTAGGAACGGCATCTCAAATCACCATGCTTTCACATGCTTCAGCGTTGCTGACAGTAGCAACGGAGAAATTTATCGCATTGAATTCACACTGATTTCCACGAAAGGCCTAAAACGGCTTATTTTCACTGACGACCAACTTGGACAAATGCACATTTGATGCAACGAAATGGAACACAACAAATACCATAACCACATGATGTGGTCCAGCCGAATCTCAACTCACAGTAAGCCGAAAGCTTAACTATCATGACTACCGAACATGTAACAAACATGTACACAAAAACAACGATCGCGCTATCCGCAACATTGCTGATAAACTGACAGATCAATCTGTGATCGCATCTTTAAATCTAGCTTTGTAAACAATTGGATTTACAGCTGTCTACCAAATGAAAACAAAACATGTAACTGTGTCCAAAAATGCTAAAGTAACTGAATTCATGAGACACAAATATGGCAAAAGGTTTTTTTCTTCTGATTATGTTTAAAATAAAGGTGCTTATTGATTAAAAGACTGATGTTTGGGATTTTAGTGCTGCATTAGACCAGTGGGTTAACTGATTTAATGTGTCGTTCAAGTTTGAGAAAACGTTTAATTCGTAGCTTGGCCGCTCCTACTTCAAGGTAAAAATATTGCTTATCTACTCTGATCAGGGTTCCACAAAGTTGCGAAAACCTTTTAGGTTGATAGCAGTCCGAGGGGCAATCAGATGTTTAAAACCTTGGGTCTAACTCAAGTGCGACAGAAATGCCACTGGGATTTTTAATGCAAACATGCAAGTCAGTTTATTTAGGAAAAGTGCTAAAGTATTGGACTTATGGGTAATTATGCATGGTCCAAGTCCAAGGAAAACCTTGGTCGATATGCAGGCACGAATTTGCCCTACGAAGTTTCAGAAGAACTCTAGATTCCGATTTTTTTTCAAGGTTAAACGTGTCTTTTCGGATGCACTTTGGTGTCGACGAGGAAACAATTGAGAGTGTCAGTTGCAGAAATTGGGAATTATAGATCCGAATTGCCATGTAAAAAGGATTGGTTACTTGTTGACTGACTCACCAAAAGGTGGTCTCCTTGTCAAGAAAGAGAGTGGCGTTTCCAGCAATGAAGTTCATGCCCTGGCAGTAGCCTACTGCTCGGTTGTGGAGGGTGAAGGCTTGTAGGACTTCCTGCATTTGTTGAACCTGCAGTTGAGGAAATTTATTTGAGCAAGTGATAAGTAGACACCAAAGCTTGGTCAAAACAACCCTCTGTTAACAAGGTCCTCGTACCCCGAATCCCTCTGGGCGGTTGAAGGCGATGTGGTTAGGAAAGGTGCGAAGAACATCCAACATGATTTGCCGACGATGTGAAGAATCTATCTACAAAAAGGCCACAAATTGACGATTGAGCTGGGAACAACAAGTTGGGTCATCGAGAAACACTCCATAATTTGAGAAATTTCATTCTGCAATTTGTAGATCAAAACAACGGAAATGACAAATGCCTTTGCTACTTTCGTGGCCGTTCACACATCTGTAAACATTGACATTTATACCACTAAACTAGGCACTGTAATTAGTAGACCAACGGTCGCTTTATATTCGGTAATCTCATTACTGGGCAATCACTTTCTACCTCATTACAAATCCCGCGGCCGATAAGTGGAGGTGGCTGCTGCATAGTTATTAGGTAATTAATGCAGTTTGAATTACCATAGGAACCTCCAAACAGTTAGATGGAAGTCGCTTTGTGTTCAAAAGAACAAAATTTAAGACCAATCATAAGAACCCTTGGTTCTGAGTACAACGGCCATTGTTGAACCACTTTTCATCAACGACACATGTTAAAAAAGAGCACTACAATCCAGACCAAAACAACAGTCAAAGTCCCTTACTGAATTGTGATGACTCACGTCAAGCAACCTGGTCATCACACAAACCAGCCCCACCCGTCTCCTCAACTAAGCGACCTCGTCGCTTCAGTAGACATGTTTGATCATGCACGCCTGTGCGCCCATCTCCCCTGCCACTCAAACCTCACATCGTTTCAGACATTTGTTTTTGCACTTTTACCAGTTCATCCGAGCTCTCTCGGTCAACAAATGTCAGCTGTCATGCCCCTTCTGGATAGGTTTGAGGCTTATAGGGATTCCACCACCTCGAACGCGCAAACACGACAAACACTGCGCCGTTGAGCCATGCAATAAGCGTTTCTGCCTTCGTCATCTCTGGTCTTCCTATTCATTCCGTGCCTGCGTTATTTGGCGTAGTTCGGCTCGGTGGGTTTCAACACCCACACAGGGACATTGTCGTGACTAGATTCAATTGTTCAACCTAATTAAACATCCTGAATTCAGGTTGAGGTGAACACCACAGATATCCGTATAAAAATTCCTCAAAAAATCTCTTAAACTAGCCTTTTTTTTAAAAAAAATCAAGGATGGATGCTTGTGCAATTGTGGTGTGCGAGATGTGGCAGGCATGTAACAAAACTTGCCTGAGAGTCATTTACTCTGGCCACGAGGGTCTGGTAGTATCGCGGACCCACTTCTTGCTGAATCTTCCCAACTCCAAGTTCGATGAGTTTTGTCCACACCTGCTCTCTTAGTTCTCCGGGGATTCCCTGTCGACAGAGTTCCTTCAATTTGTACTGAGAAATATTGAATTGAATAGGTTGACAACATGACACACGCACAATCACAGAGAACAGCACTTAATTGAAACGTTCTAAATTCATCATTAAATAGGTTGTCGTGGTTACTGCTTTTTTTAACAACAGCTTGGTACATTCCTGACGATCTTTTAGTTACTTTATTTGTTTTCATTGCTTTTGGAAACACGTTTTACACTGTGATTAGTTTGTTTGAGAATGCTATAGAGACAGGAAGGAATGCAAGATTGGGGTGCGATGAAGGAGTTCGTTCACTTTTTTCACCACCGCTAGATACAGCTGCGTTGCAAAAGGGTCAGACTTGCATGCAAGCACATGGGGGTTAAGGCACATAACGCACACGAAAAAAAAAGCGTGAACATGGAACTGTGAGTGCAACCTTCGTGTGTGGTGGTGTTGTCGTCTGCTATCAGCCAAGTGAGTGAGTCACGCGTCTATGATAGGGCGACGGAACGGCACCAGGTCTGACAACAAATGGCAGCCATATTAAAAAAAAAGTTCGGTTTCGAGGTTTCATAAACAAATGTGATAACTCTGTCGTAGATACTTGGATGACAAGTTGTTAATGCCCTTTCGGTGGAATTTGTGTCGTAATATTTACCGAAATGGCATCCTGAGTCGAAAATCGTTTTAAATAATCAGTAATCAGGAAGAATACTGCAGTTGCGTCTGATTTTGGGAGCATTCAAACACCTGGAACTTTTAACATATTTATCTGTACTAGTTTCAAAGTGGGAGCGATTCTGTCAGCGTGCTTGTAGTTACCGATACCAGCATTCGTGGTTACTTTTCTCTGGGACTTCTATCACTACACCATTGGGCAGAGCAGGGTGGTGGTGCGTAAGTCTCCCTTTTTTCTAATCACCTAGCTCCTGGTTTCTAATCTAGATTAATTCTGTAGACTGGCTACGAAAAACCACATTCTGAGAGCTTTTCGGAAAGTAGGCGTTGGTGAGAGTGGTGTGCCGAAATGTTTAGCCACAAGTTGCGTTGTAATAACGGCGGAAATACTTGACAAGGAAGTTATGTTGATCAAGGAAGTGACTGGAATTACCAGTGAGAATCGTAGTGAAATTAAATCGAGATAAGTGGCCGATTGCACAATTAATGTAAAAAATTTAATTAGTGGGTTTCACGTTGAGGCGGTTCTTTGAACTTTACCCTGGGAATCGTGGCGAAATCCATGTGAAGGAAGTCTTTCCACTTCATAATTTTTAATTCTTCAGCCGGTGACGTCAAAGTGTATACATCCAGAAGTCGACTGGTGACGTAAAGAATGGTCATATCAACATTGGTAAAGATTTCTTGGAAGCCGTAGGAATCCGTATGACCACTTTGTGAAGATAACCTAAAGTGGAGGATTCCCGTGAGAGATCAACATTCGTGAGACTGAAAGGAACTCCAAGTATGTGTAAATGTGAGACGCGGTCTTCAACGTTGTCAACTGCATTTTAAATTCTGCCCTTGATCGAAATAGTCACGAACATAAAGGTGATTACTGCGTTCCCCGAACGGCATCGACTCAAAAGAAAGGAGTACTATCAAACTACAACATTTAGGCTCTCCTCAATACAAACAGGTTGAATCTTCATGCCCTCGCATCCCTGTATCAGTACCGCACCTACGCTACTCGTTTATCTGACCGTTCAGCCACTTGCACCTTTACAGGTTCACCTAGACTGTATTGATCGACAGCCCTATTGGGCCAGACGATTTTTATGCTCAGTGGCGCGACTAACACAACTAAGTTGAACTGTCTAGTGAATAGTTGTGTCTCCGCTGCCTCTGGTCTTTCGATTATCTTCAACTCAGCAGGCTCGACGTGGTACAACACCACATATCGGTGCCCACAACAAACACATTGGTCTGGACTTATCATTTGGCATTCAAATTTAGAGCCTACTTAATTATTTAAAACACGACGACGATACAATATAATTGAGGGTTAAATTTGAAAACTATGATAAAAAGAGAAGCCTTACAAAGAGGTTGGCGGCAGTCGAGGATCTTCTTTTCGCGCAGCCTCCAAAATGCGACTGATGCGGTCTTTATGCTAAAATGTGTTTTAATAATCAAAAGATTTAAATGATACATTAGTAATTCGAAGTCCACCACACTGAGGCACTTGTGTCCCGTCCGAAACTGGAAGTTCGTTGACATATTAAAAGTGTAGTGAATCGTGTTGATTCACGTTCATTGACGCGGTCGTCACAGTCTCAAACATACTGCCCCCATTCCACAGCGTGCCCGTCAGCCTTGCAGGACCGTCTGCCAAAACACCCCTGTCTATATACCCCCCGCCCTGCCCGCTCCAGTCATCTGACCATCCGTAATTTGTACTTTTACAAGATCATCCAAGGGCCACATTAGTCGTGCACAGCTTTCAAGCCACGCGCACCACAACACAAGCGGGTTGAGGTATTTAGCAGATGGTTATCCCAACCGCTCCTGTCTTCTAAATCTTCTCAAGCTTATGCAGCAAGGTTGCCCCAGTGTGGTTCAAGACCACATGGCAGGGCATTCAATGACTCTGACTGACAGATTTACTAGAAACGATAATTTTCTTATTTCTAACTAATTGGTCTATTCAACGGGGAGAAGACGATAGAACGTTAGTTAGATTCGGCAAAATCCCCAAACCATTGGTTGAGCTTGATACAATTGCGTTAAGTCACGCTTTCAAGGCGACATTCATGCGTTTAAACCTAACAGTTTCAAGCGTATATGAATTTTAGGATTATCTTTTAAAAGTGGGCGGTAACTCTGTTTCGAGCTACAAATTCGTGACATGAATTGCTTGAGCATTCAATATTGAATAATCTGTGATAAAAGAATCTGCTTTGGACGACTGGCTTACTCGGTTGGTAATAATAAAGTTTGCGGGCTGACCAGTTTCCATCGAACCGTCAAGCTTGTACATGCAGCATGTTTGAAGCAACGAGGAGTAGTCCATTCGCAGGTCCCGAACTTCCTCCTCCAGATGTTGGTTTTGCCTGAAATTAGAAATCCACAACTGTCGAACACTTACCTCATTAAATCTTTTATCTTTGGGCCCGTTGCTACCCCGCAGTGCTCCTAGGCCAGGAACATAGAGCACATTGACAGGACAAACATCGAGTTTGATTTTGCGTTGGTGCGAGCGTGTGCAAATAGAGGCATTTTAACGTTTTTCCAGGTCACCAAACAACTACTAAACAGCCAGTTTTCTAATTAGTGAATGGTGCTGATTCACGTCGTCGCATTCTCCGACGTCCAGCCACCACCCTCGCTACACGTTTCCCCCTCGTCTGACCATTCAGTCATTGTACTTTGCAAATTCGTCCAGACTGTTTTGATCGTCAACGGCACTATTAGTTAGGCACAACTTTTACGCTCAGTGGTGCGACAAACACAAGTAGGTTGGCCTATCAAATAAACGGCTCACTCTCCCTCTCTACCTATCACATTTCCATTTGATTACTTCGTGCTGCATCGTGGCATAACAAATTCACAATTTCTGGGTCGACCAGACACGCACAAAGCAGTAGTGAGCAATAATTCACAAACTTATGTAAAGTTGAATAATTATTTAGCGCGTAAATTGCTCACCAGCCCCCTGAAATGTATTTTACTGGATTCAACATGAAGTAGGTGGTGTAGCACGAATGTACAGAACTGACATAATGTTAAGCTAAATGAACGCACACGTTTCAAATGCATCATCCAGTTTTACAAATTCAAGGTATGTTTTGGCAAAGCTACTGACTACATTTATACATAAACTCATGCTAGCTTATTTACAATTTACATTAAATCTTTTGCAAAGTCAGCAGTGGATTGTGGTAAATCGCGTCTGCCACCTCCGACCTCCACCTCCACCTCCGACAGCCGATTAATTCTTATCTGGCGCCTGAACGCTTTGGATGAAGACATCAAAATGGACATGGCTATCCCCTTTGTACGTCTATGATTTGTTAGCGGTTGCAACCTAGCGCACCAACACATTGTGGTTAAATAATTAAAGAACCAGGTGCAGCGGGTCACAATTTTCACACTGGAGCGCCCGT